ACCTGTCTCTTCGGGAACACATGTAAGATTTAAAACCATAGTTGGGGTTTAAATCGATTAAAAGTAAATGTTCTAGTTAAGAAATCATCAAATTTTTACTAAAGCAAAGGCATTGCGGAAACTTTTTCCGGATCCAATATTTGTGTTTACACTATAATTAAGTCAAAATATTTTTTATTTGATTAGTGGCAATAATTTAAAAAGTCTCGAAATGAATGGAGAAATAACAAAAATGGAGATAATATTGGACTCCATGTGTGAGGTCATGCCCTATAAAAGGCCCAATTGTTCACATGTATTGTCACAATATAATGAATGGTTTGTCGATTGCAATCGTATTACTGAATTGGCAAATTTCAAACTAATATTAAACAATTTGAAAACTCAATGCGACACCAATTTTTATTATAATTTCTTAATTGACAAGGCTAAATTAAATTTCACTGAAATTGAAAACACTTATTATAGTTCATATGAAGAATTAGAATTCATTGGCAAAGGATTATATGGTTACGTGTGCAAAGTGAGAGATAAAAGCACCAATGACATATATGCCATTAAAATGATTGATCTGACAGGTATTTACAATGTCCCAATGTTTTTTACAAAATTACTAATTTTTTAAAAGTCTTTATCTAAATCACTTTGTTTTGACAGGTTTAGATTATGATGAAACGCAACAATTACTTAATGAGCTTGGCAAGTTTAAACAAATTACCTCAGGTTATATTGTAGGAGTGTATGACTTATGGTTGGAGTCCAAAATCATTTACATACGATTGGAGTATTTTCCGCAAAATCTTAGAGGTTATATTAATCAAAAACGACAGGTATGCGGTCGATTACCGGGTCATGTCATGGATGTGTCCGAGTATTACATTTCGTGTCTTATATTCAAAGACATCTTAGAATGCGTTCAATATTTTCATGAATTGAATCCACAGATCATTCACAAGAATCTAAAACCTGAGAATTTTTTAGTCAACAAATCATATATTAAAATTAGCGATATTTACATAAATAATGATGATAACTCAAAGATATATATGTCACCTGAATTACTATCTGAATGTAGCAATTTAACATTTCAAACGGATATCTATAGCTTAGGCGTAATTGCCCAGGAGATATTTGATTGCAAATTTGAGTAAGTAACTATTATTATATTAATATTATTAATTAAAATAATTTATGTATTTATAAGGACATCACCAACATTACAATTTGATAAGTCTATTTCAATTAATATTCGTGAACTAAGTGAAATTATACTGCTCATGTTAAGTCCTATTTATGATGTGAGACCGTCATGTAGAGATATATTGGACAAACAAAATGTCTGGGAAGTTAGCAAGGAAATATTTAATAGTAATTTAACCACGGAACAAGCAACTGAACTTTTAACTTAAATTGAAACTAGAATATTTAATAAATAAAATATTTTTAATAATAATTTGTTGTTTATAAAATTTAACTCAAAAATCATATGCTTTTTATAAATAATACATTTCAATGAGCATTCAATGTAATGATAATAATTATTTTTAGCAATGTTATTTAATAAAATTTAAAAAACATTAATTAAAACGTGTACCTAATATACGGTACTAAATTTCTTACATTTCATTTATATTCATTTTGAAATTCGTGATAAGTGTTTTAAAAATTACAATAGTTTTAATTATACTTCAAAATCAATGCTAAAACTTATATTTTATTTATGTCACGCAATATAACAAATTATAATTAACTTTGATTCATATAACTAATTTCGCACATACTTTACAGTACTGTAAAACTGTTATACCAGTGCACATACCTAACAATACCTCATAAGTGCTGTATTGTGAGCCAATGTGATGGTAGTCTGTCACCCGGCTCAATCTTGAAACGATGTAGCTTGTTAGTTTTGTAATTATATGGTTGATCAGGCACAATTATAATAAATTAAATACAATTTGCATAATAGGGTAACATCTTTATTATTGAAATAACAGTACATTTAAATACAAGTGTTGTTTATCTGTGTGTTACCCACAGAGAACTGTGTATAAGAATAGTTTTACATAAGTTTTTATAGCCAACAAAGTGTACCAGGATTTGGTAATAAATGTACATTTGAGGACCAGATGTGCATATGATGTAAGCACTGGTATGCAAAATAGGTCAACTTATTGTATGTAAACAAGCCCATTAATTATAAAGGGGCCTCTCTAATGTGACATGATTATTTATGTGATTTGACAGTTTTATATGCAAAATAGTATAATGCTTTAAAAACTGTAGCTTTATAACAGGATGTGAAATTGATTTATGTGACAGTTATTGCATAGAAATGTTGAAAAAACTACCAAGCACTATTAGGCTTACATATTCTCCGTCTGCTCGGAAAATGTGTCCTCACATTTAAAATGTTCTAAGCTAAGATTTTACGTTATATGTTTTTACATTTATGTTATCTAATACAATAGTAAAATAATGAAATATAGTAAAATTTAGAATATTTTTATATTTATAATTTTTATGGTGATAAGTTTACAATTAAACAAATCATTTTAACATTTTATAAATTTTTATCTAGTAAGTTTTTTTATTTTGTGTATTTTTTTGTGATCTGATAATAAATTAATCAAATCTTTTATATTTTTAAATATTAAATGTACTGTAAGATTTATAACAATTGCAAGATTATTGATATATTTTGCCTTTATAAAATACGATTAGTTTACTTATATAGCTGATATACTTTTACTTATATTATATTTTACAGTATACTTTTACTTATACTTATACTGTACAGGGTGTACTAGTTATTTGTCCTATAAAAAATGCATAGGATTCAATGTAAATTTTATTTTTGGCAAACCGACCTCAATAATTATGAGTAATCTTAGAGTATAAATTTTAATAATATTATTAATAAGTTCTACCACTTACATACTATATATATCGACCATTAAATATTATTATTATTAAGGATGTAAAATTTTAACTCAATAAAACTTATAATGATAATTTATTATTATACAAAGCCGATGGGCATATATGAGATATTTTATAACATGGGTATAAATAGTATGATAACGGCCCACAATATGCAGTAAATAATGACCTGGCTACTAATCTTATTATATCTACACAAAACATTATTGTTAATTTTTAATTGACAAATTTGATCAAAACCGACATATTTAAATTTTCTCTAAAAAACTCATCAAGGTTTATATAATTTCTTTGGCTAAGATACTATTTCCTAGGTCTTACATGTGCTTGTTAATTTACACTTTAGCCGGCATAATTATCTGTATTAGTATAAGAGATATAAAAGCTTGAATCGTTGTGGTCAATCATCGGACATGTTCAACAAACCTAATTTACTCTGACACCATTGCCTATTAAGAGGTCATCTAAAATCTTAAATTATACTACATTTGATAGGTTTTCAATCCCACTACTATTTATTTTCCGACCATTACCTGAATTGATGTAAATTTAATTTAAAAAGATATAGTCAATTATGGGACAAATGACTAGTACACGGTGTATAACTTATACAGATTAATGCTAATCAAAGTTTTACATTTGAATTTTTATCGTGCAAAATTATGTAATTGTAAATTGATAGTTAAATATTGATCAGTTTTAATCATATAATTAACCATGTGTGATTTAGTTGTGTTTAGTAACTTTTGATATTTTAATTAAACATGGAATTATTTATTTATAACAAGCTATCTAGATTAAACTACAGTATTTAAAATTAACTTATTTTAATCATATAATTAACCATGTGTGATTTAGTTGTGTTTAGTAACTTTTGATATTTTAATTAAACATGGAATTATTTATTTATAACAAGCTATCTAGATTTAACTACAGTATTTAAAATTAACTTCACCCATTTGTTTAGAACCAAAAATTATCATGTACCGTTTCCTATAACTTCTAATTATTAATTTTTATACAATATTAGCTTTATCCTTTATTTTTAGTACAAACTTTTAAGGTTTAAGTACAAACTACTTCATTTTTAAGTATAACTTTTCCATTATCTACTTTCAATTAATTTATCATTTTAATAATATTTTAGTTTAATTAAATTTTCAATTCACAAAATACAGCTATATTAATTTATTAAATTTTTATATTCCAAATTCATTAAAATCATTTTTTCTAAAATATTATTCACCAAAGTCAAAATTAATCTTGTTAATTACTTGGAAAATCTGTTTGTTATATCTTGCTATATAATCCACGTTAATCCAAAATTTCTATTATTCTAAACACTTATTTTTACAAGGCTCTAATAATTTTAATAATTTATCATATAATATCAATTCTTTGTATTTAAGATAAATTTTAACAACTTTCAAAATGTAATTATTACGAATAAATAATTCAGTTCGTAAGGTACCATGTTTATAGTACTCAAAACTCATATCTATGTTATCGTAATACTTTTTATTATCAATACGAAATTGTACCATATTTAAAGATATGAATAATAAAACCACCAAAAATAACATACACTTAAAATTAAACAAGTTTAAAGGTGCTGTATGTTGTTTCATTAGTTTAATGTTTTCAGGTACATTATTTTGTCGTAGAGTTAATTTGCCTAGATTCTTAATAGTTGTGTAGGTGTAGGTTAGTCGTTTTTCTAGTTTAATATGTTTATTTAAACTATAATTTTCTTTACAGTTTATTTCATCAGTAATATTTAGATTGTCGGAAATAAATGATAAATTAATCTTGTTGCAATCCATTATTAATTTGTTTTGGTTATTCTTAACTAATATATCAAAATGTGTTATTTCAAATTTATCTGTTATGTTATTATTCAATTTAATGCAAGTTTTATTATCTATAGTATGTGGGGGATAATTACTTTTAACTAAATTACAGGGAATTACATTAGATTCAAATAAGTACTGTAAAGCTATTGGATCTAGTATGTATTCAGTTTCAACAAAATTATGAATTTGTTTTTTGATATAATTTATGTTGGCACAATAATCGTGGTCTCGAAATTCTACTTGATAATTTTCATAGTTAATTATAGCACCGGACATAAAATTGAAATCATTTCCTAAAATAACTTTGTAATTTATATTTCTGGCGACTAAAACATCCAATGTTATTTTGCGTTTGAATTTTGTAGGCAATACTATTGTTAATTTAACTATGCCAATTATTTCAACTTTACTACCATTAGCGCCACCATATTCAGGTCCATCGTATGAATTTACTTTTAATTTTAATTCGCTACATAAATCATTATTTATAAACGTGCTAACTGATCCAGAATCAANTTTTACATTTGAATTTTTATCGTGCAAAATTATGTAATTGTAAATTGATAGTTAAATATTGATCAGTTTTAATCATATAATTAACCATGTGTGATTTAGTTGTGTTTAGTAACTTTTGATATTTTAATTAAACATGGAATTATTTATTTATAACAAGCTATCTAGATTAAACTACAGTATTTAAAATTAACTTTACCCATTTGTTTAGAACCAAAAATTATCATGTAACGTTTTCTATAACTTCTAATTATTAATTTTTATACAATATTAGCTTTATCCTTTATTTTTAGTACAAACTACTTCATTTTTAAGTATAACTTTTCCATTATCTACTTTAAATTAATTTATCATTTTAACAATATTTTAGTTTAATTAAATTTTCAATTCACAAAATACAGCTATATTAATTTATTAAATTTTTATATTCCAAATTCATTAAAATCATTTTTTTCTAAAATATTATTCACCAAAATCAAAATTAATCTTGTTAATTACTTGGAAAATCTTTTTGTTATATCTTGCTATATAATCCACGTTAATCAAAATTTCTATTATTCTAAACACTAGTTTTTATAGAAGTTGTAAAATTTTAATACTATATTATATAATATCAATTCTTTGCATTTGAGGTAGATTTTAATAGTTGTCAAGATATAATTATTACGAGTAAATATAATAGTTTGTAAGTTACCAAGTTTATAATATCCAAAACTTGTATCTATGTTATCGTAGTACCTTTTATTATCAATACGAAATTGTATCATATTTAAAGATATGAATAATAAACCCACCAAAAATAACATACGCTTAAAATTAAACAAGTTTAAAGGTACTGTATGTTGTTTCATTAGTTTAATGTTTTCAGGTACATTATTTTGTGGTATAGTTAATTTGCCTAGATTCTTAATAGTTGTGTATGTGTAGGTTAGTAGTTTTTCTAGTTTAATATGTTTATTTAAACTATAATTTTCTTTACAGTTTATTTCATCAGTAATATTTAGGTTGTCGGAAATAAATGATAAATTAATCTTGTT